AGAGACGCCGGTCTTTGTCATTACTGCCCCTGGTGTTTTCTGGGAGAAAAAGAACGCCTCTGTCAAGTTTTTATGAATAAGAAGAAGCAGCTTTTGTGGTGTCCTGGCAGTCAGAGACGGGGGCACGGGGGGACAGACTAGTGGAGGACCAGGGCCTGTGAGATGGGGTAGATACTTTTTCAGAATCTAATAAAAAGCAGACCTCACCCAATTCTCCTCTCTTCCAGAGGGGAAGTAAATTCCCATGTGCATACACTTTCCCCCCTTTTTGGTTGCCCCCCCCCCCTGCCCCCTCCCCTTACCTTCAGATGGAAAAGTGAGCTTTAGAATGATTACTTGCACAAACGGAGTCTGATCAGGCAGTTAACATTGTTGATAATACATCAGACGTCCTAATCAACATCAGGTACGCTGACCAGAAAAAGTCCCAGCAGCCACCTCTTCTGGTAAAAGAATCTGACGAGACCCATATGTCTTATCAGTCTCTTTCAGGCAATAGCACAGGTATATTCCTCTCTCTATCACTCTCTCTCTCTCTCTCACACACACACACACACACATATGCCACAGACACAGACTAGAGCCTATTAGAAACCACATGGTTCCAAACAGTACCATGTGCAGCCACCTCAGCCTTTCAAAGCCTGAACACATGGACCTGAGTAAAATATGTCCATTCATATTTAATCATTATTATTCTGTTTACAAAACAAAAGGGAAATGCTTGAATGGAACTCACTGGAGTTGTCAAACGGTATCTGTCTGCAGCTGTCAGGCAGCCCAGGCCAGGGGCAGTAGTAGACAGCTCCAGCCTCCACGATGCCCGGCTGGGAGGTGTTCGCCCTGGGAGCCCCCACCAACACACTCAACCTGGTTTAGGAAGAGAAAATACTCTTCATTCACAACATCACATCCTGCAAAAGTACATGAATATTTCATAATACATGGAAATGGGATCAGCGCTGCTCCAGGATCCCTATGTCCTGGAGATAGTCAAGTGTGTTGTGTCTAATGATTTTTTTTAAAACTCTGGTCTTAAGTGATGTGTTCAGAGTTAGACACGGAGAATAAAAATTGGAGCCAGAGCCCAGGTTAGAGTGTGCTGTTCCACTCACGTGTTGCTGTTGCTGGTGGCTTGGTAAAAGTCCACAGAGTATCCGAAATAACTTCCATCCGGTCCCCTGTAAACCGTGGGATGCTCCGCGTGAAGGTTAAAACCCAAAACTCCATTCAGCACGGAGAGCAGCCCGAGAACGAACATCCCAGCGAAGGAAACGCAGCTCCGCAAACGCTCCATCCACAAAGAGCCGCTCTACGCACTGTTCCCCCCAAAAATGAGACTGGAGGAGAAGGAGAGAGAGAGAGAGAGAGGGAGAGGGAGGGAGTGGGACAGCCCTCCGTGCAGGTGAAGAATCTTTGTCCCGGGTTAAGTCCAGCAGCAGTAGCAGTGGGACGGTGGTTCAGTGCGCTCTCTCCAAGAACTGACTCCCGACATCCTCAAACCGTCAGGTCTGTGCAGACCCTCAGATACAGACGCGCCGCGCCCCCGCCTTCTGCATAAAACTTTGCCCCCTACACACACACTCACACACACCAAACCACATCTTAGCGCGCTCAAGGGACCCTGCGCGTCACCGCTCCTTTTATGGCACAGACGAGTTTTCCACGGTGAATCGGGGGCTTCATCCTGGAACAATAAATAAAATTGAGGTGAGATTTGTTACCACATTCTAAAAGCTGTGCTGTGATGAACACAGACGCGCGCCCTCACACAAATGCATGGCGATTACGCACACAGAAACTGACGCTACCCGTGCGTAAATCAAACCATCCTTTATTCCCTCATGCGTCGGTTGGTTCCAGCATTTTTTCTTTTACAAACACTGACCCGTTTCCTGCCGCAATCACATGTAATTATGTCAGTAATTATTACGTCGGTTGCAGCAGAAGTCTGTCTGACTCCATGTGTTAGTTCGACCAGCAAACTATTTCACTATTTCAACGCCAAATGATATCGAGTAGAAAATAATACTGCAAAATAAAAACTGCACATCTTTTTTTAGCTCTCTGAACTGAGAATATTTTCTCAGTTCCCATAATTTGTGGCACATCGGTGTGGCTGACTCACACACTCCAGCCCAGCAGGTGGCGGTAATGCACTTAAAGTTTTTTTTCCAGATAAAAGATAGAAAGGCATGGGCTACTTTGTACTGCACTGCAACCCATTCCTTAATCTTATTGTAGGGTGGGGCAAGGGGGGGGGCGGGGCACCCCCAAAAAGCTGCCTCAAACTGACCGCCTGTTTATCAGCCTGGTGTTTGTTGCTGGGGCATCAGTGAGAGGTCAGTGATCACTGACCTCCACAGAAACCCCCAGCAGTTCAACTGCAGTGGAGATGGAGTCACTGAAGAGTTCTCTGTCAGGGTTGATAAGAACCAGGTGAGATGGTGAGGTCAGACGTGCAGCAGAAGGAAACCAACCTTGAACTGACACATGGAGACATTTCTCTCCTCCACACCTTCTACCTGCCCTTCAACACATTCCCATCTGTCCGTCCTGGAACTCTATCCCTTCCCTCTGTGGTTCCATTATGTACTATATGATTCCATCCAATGAGTGCAGAGTAGATTCACCTCTGATCCTTTATGCAGATGTACAGTATATGGGGAATGGAAAGAAAAGAGGCAGGAGGAACAGGAAGGAGAACGTCTGTTCCTTCTGCTTTGATTTAAATACAGAAATATGCTTTTTGGTTGGAAACAGACAGAGCACTGAAGAAGACGATGTACAATGGTCTGATGACTCCTGAGTCCAACCAGTTATTTACGTTTTAGCCTGGAGGAGCTTCACACACCTGTAATGTACAGTTGTCATGATCCACTCACTGGTTAGTAGTTCAAAGCCAAGTTTTACTCCGAGGATCCAGGGGCAATTATTTTTCTTATCTTAAGATTGTCGGTCACCTACCACAGTGGATGACAATATATTGAACATCTATTTGAGGGCCGGATGCATGTGGGTTGTGGACCAGAAGGGGCCCACGGGCCAGGTGTTTGAACACGGAAGTTTTTTTAAATTTCCGTAGGTTGAAATGACTTTGTGAACTACATGTATGTGCTTCTACAGTAATAGTATTTTAAATAGTGTTTCTTGGGTGCATCATAAAAACGTGGGTGGTTCAAGACTAAAGCCCACCACTGTGAATATCATATCCCTCTGCACACAAGAATAAATACTACTTATTGAGCAGGGAACAAGCACTGAGTGAGTATATTGCTGCGGACTGACCCCATTTTGTTTTAGTGTGGCTCTGTCAGGAGGCAAAACACCAAGTGGCTTGTGTTTTATTGCAGCTCGTTTCCTGCATCGTTTTAATTTCCTTCACAATTCTAAGAGTTCGGTGTTTTTCAGTCATACACACATTAGGCCTCATATTGTCAGAATTAGCGAGAACATATTTTTTGCAGGCGGCTCTGGGCTGATTACTGCTCTCACACACTGAGCGGAACTAATAATGTGATTATTGAACGGCCGTTACAGCAGATTAAGGCCACGTTACAGATCCATTACTTACATCCAGTCCATGATGGAGTCCTGTCATCACAGATGAGCTCACTTCAAATACTCCTTGAGATATTTAATCAACTTTTTGTGTTTTAATTTGTTTCTTGCTTTGTCTGGAAAGCAGGAAACACTATTTCCAATTGAAAATCCCTATTAGTGTAAAAGCTCTGCTCACTTTCTGGGCAGTTGGCTACATTAACTATGCAGTTATTCTTAAAAATATATAACAGTATATAATTACAATATTTATTATTTTTAATAAAAGTATTGGTCAGAGTACTGAGTATCTGCAAGAATACATAAAAAAACTTGTAGTGACATGTCAATGGTTTAAATCGTCGACTTTTGAGAAGTCACCGCCTCCTGAGATTTCCTTTGTGATCTGATTTAGAGCATCATGGGACATGAACCGTGTTGTGGGGAGTGATTTACTGATGAGGGGGATCCTGACCTTGGACCCCGGTGTTGGAGGTCGCGACATCAGAAGAAGACACAGGACGTATTTGATTTCAAATCTTCACGACTCACATGCATGTGAACAAAAAATGTTTATTCCAGAACCTGGGTGTGTAATAATAAATACATGAGCAGTTGGCCGACATTCTGGAGCGGTATGTGAAGCACAGACACACACACACACACACACACACACAGACTGACACACCTCAGTCAGTTTTGTAGTGGAGAAGACACTGACGAAAATGATTCAAATCTCCAGTTCATTGCATTGGGGGTTGGTCCCTTTACTGTAAACACTTATCAGTAGGTGTGGCTTTGTGAGTGTATGTGTGTGTGTGTGTGTGTGTGTGTGTGTGTGTAAAAGGCTTTGGTAGCTTTTCTCCTTAAACAGTCCTAACCGTAGTGTTTCACAGTTGACTGTCTGTGATCATGTGACATTGTAGGCTCTGCACTGAACCCATCTGAGCTCTGAAGATCCTACACAGAGCAGAGCAGCGAAGAGTTGTTGTTTTTCCAATTACAAGCCATAGTGAGAAGACAACAGTGTGATCCTTTAAGATGGATTTACATTTGTGTGGAATGTAATGATGATGACGTGTGTGTGTGTGTGTGTGTGTGTGTGTTAGGTCCAACAACGCGTTAGCGTCGCTCACACATCGTGTATTTTCCTCATTATTGGTGCTTTTACATTTGAGTTTCCAGCCTCGTGACCAGGTGGGGTCAGCATAAAAAAAAGGGAAGAGGGAAAGGAGTGCATGTGGCGCCCCCCCCCCCAACAAAGACAGGGTCAGTGCTAGTTCAGTGACGGGGAACGGTCAGTGGTCCACAGCAGCTCAATGTATGGCCACTTGGTCTGTAGACATCGCTTGACCGGAGTGTCGTCGGTTCGAACCATGGGGTCCTCGAAACCCAG